TTGATATATAACTCTAATTGTAATTAGTTAGGGTTAAACAATGACGATTTTGAGCAGTCTTTTGGAAAGAATTGCTGCATCCAATTATGGGAGATTTGTAAGAGATCTAGAGCTTTGTTTTAGGGTTTGATCGGTGAGATTTATAACTTTATTTGTATTCTCTTGATTTCTAATAGTAAGAACTCCCCCCTCCTTGCCCCGTGGACGTATGCAACTTGTCGAACCACGTAAATAGTTTGTTCTTGTTGTGATTGTGATTTGTTTAGTAGTTGTGATTTATCTCAAGTTATTGTTTGTGTCGCTTCGAGAACTTCCGCCGCGCACAACGAGGAGTGAACCTTGTCATCACTCACCGTAGACAATGCTTTTTAAAACAATCTGTATCTATTACTTAAAGAACTTGACATCTCTAAAAATCAAAATACATGTAATATATGAATTGTAATCATTAAATATTTTCTTAATTATTCTTATACTCATTAATTGGTTGGATTTACTCAAATGTACTCTTAAGTCCTAAAAGAATAGCAAGTTGACACAAGAATAATGTCTCTTCAAAGAAAAGTAATTTATTTACTTAATAAAATCATGACAATATCCAGTTAAACACATTACATAATATAATAACGGGAAAATACAACTCATATCATCTGGAGGAGCACAATGCACATGATAATACCTTATTCCTTCAGAACAAAACTAAGAACATAAGATATTTGTAAGTTCGTATAGACGCAAACGGGCTTTGCCGTGCCTGAGATGCAAAATGCACCACCACTTTCACGGGCCCCCACCCATCTCCACCCACCACATTCGGGCCATGTGAAAAGTTCTATTCATTCAAAACCGTTAAAATTAATACGAGTGGATGAAGGGTCAAACGACGACGGGTTCACCCCAAACTTGGTGTGTTGGGGTTTTAGAATATGTAGATCAAGTTCAACAAAACGGATCATCCATAATGTCGCTCAATCATGTGATTTTAGAGGCGTCAAGGAGGAAATCCCCTCCTATGATAAGGATACCCATTAATCTCATATGAGATTAATGAGTATCCTTGTCATAGGAGGGGATTTCCTCCTTGACGCCTCTAAAATCACATGATTGAGCGACATTGTGGATGATCCGCTCCGTTGAACTTGATCTACATATTCTAAAACCCCAACACACCAAGTTTGGGGTGAATCCGTCGTCGTTTGACCCTCCATCGAGCCATGTGAAAAGTTCTATTCATTCAAAACCGTTAAAATTGATACGAGTGGATGAAGGGTCAAACGACAATGGGTTCACCCCAAACTTGGTGTATTGGGGTTTTAGAATATGTAGATCAAGTTCAACGGAGCGGATCATCCATAATGTCGCTCAATCATGTGATTTTAGAGGCGTCATAGGAGGAAATCCCCTCCTATAACAAGGATACCCATTAATCTCTATATTTGATTAATGGGTATCCTTGTCATAGGAGGGGATTTCCTCCTTGACGCCTCTAAAATCACATACTTGCATATAGTGATAAGGACTTATTCTAATAATAATTCTTTAAATTAACTTAATTTTAGTCACAATTTTCTCACACGTACTTGCATATAGTGATACATACGTTTGGAAGTGTGCCGAAGCATGTGTATCTCGCTTAGATGCTTATAGACTTTTAACAGGAGGTGAACTCAGTGACGATGTAAGTGCTAAATTGTGTCATGGTTGGTGGTTGATGTTGTATATATTAGTTATAAATATTTCACTCATTCATGGTAATTTTTGTAGGTCATCGATGCATTTGTTATTCGACTTTGTTATAAGATTGAGACAACTAATAGTTATGATCGAAAAATACATGTTACGAGACCTTGGCTTGCAGTAAGTATATCCCTGTTTTTTCATTGGATGTTGGTATTTATTATTATGTTTCCTTACATGGTTTACATTGATGCCTCTTTGTAGCAAGCATTTCTGAAAGGAAATATTGAAATGATGGCAAAACGAATGAAGGAAAATGTTTCTCAGCAGAAGTTTTGTGAGTGTGAAAGAATTTTGATCCCAATTGTCAGCTCCGGACATTGGCATATGGTAGAGTTAGTGAGGGAGGAGAAAAAATTCTATCACTACTCCTCAATCAAGTCTTCCCTTTATACCGCCGATGCTGCGAAATTTAAAAATAAGTTTATGAGTTTCATAGAGAGTAATTGGACGTTGGGGAAATTAGAGCACCATGAACTTGTGTCAGTTGCCGCTCCTCAACAAGGACCGTATGTGTTTCATGCATTTACATTGTAATATTTCAATTTTTTCCTCGAAGGTAATTTTCAATGTCGTAATTTTGTTTTTTTGCTAAATGCAGAACCTTAGATTGTCTCGTCTCCCGCCTCCCGCTGTCGAGCCGATGACGACGCATCCTCGGCTCAGATCAATGTTTTTCTATTTTCTAATATTTTTCATATTTATCGTGAGAACTTGGAATCTGAAGGTTGGCTCACATCAATGTTTAGCTCGTTCTGGAAACTTTTAAAGTGAGCTAAGCAAAAAAATGTGCGGATTCATCCAATTTCTAAGGTGAGCTAAAGAAGAAATGTCTCCCTCTTATTAGTAGTATAAATGTATTTTTTAGAAGTTATTAACAATTTAATTGGATCAAAACAGAATTGTAGAATAAATATAACTAGTAGTTATATTAATTTCAGAGTTTGGTTAGCAATACGGTAAGAGCTGAACATGGAAAACATTATAATTGCGATCAGGATGGAAAATTACAATTTTATGCTTTTAAATTTCTCAGAATAAATTAAATATTTGCAGAAAAAGTAGTGAAGGAAATTGAGTCAGTATAACCTGAAGTTAGATATGTTTATTTATTCTCCTTTTTTTTTCTTTATACCTTATGTACAGTAGAAGACAAGCAAGAAGTTTCCACGTCTGCTGAGGTTAGAGATCAGATTTGTAAAAAAGAAGAGAAGAGATAAGTTATATTGGAGCTTAAATAAAGCGCGTAAAGGTGAAGCATCAACATCGTTCGAATCTACCGACGTTAAGCGATAAGCAAAAGGGAGCCAAGTCACAACTGCCACGTGTGAATAGCACGGGTCTTTCATCGGCAAAGTGCAACGCTCTATTTATTTTTTACTCGAGAGAATAGCAATGATTGAAATGAGATGTAGACATGATGTGAGAGTTAGTGGTGTTTTTAGTTAATAGTCGTGGGAAAATTCAAGCTAAGCTTAATTGATTTTATTTTTAGTAGGAGCTCTAATCCTATTTGCTGCTGAGAAGTGAAGAAAGAAGCGGGTAGGTACCCGTCCCAGGCCTCATGCTTCCACAAAAGGCCACGCCAACAGACACCAACAACTTCTACGGACAGCTAAGAACATAAAAAAAAAAAAAATACTTTGCTATATATTTAGGTGGGGAAGGAAAAAAAAAGATAAATTAATTAATAACTGTGGAGGCCAAATTGAAGTGGAGGTGGTTGGTAATTTGTAATTTCGTTATTAGATACTGAATAATGGACACTGTATGTATGATCATCAACAGTCGCTGCTGGCTGCTGCAGCTGTTGATTATTAATTCAAGGAGGGCAATAGCTTACCAACCGCCTCTCGACAAGCTTTCAAGCTATCACCAACATTTTTTTACTAGAAGCGATTGAGAACTCGTACCAACACTTTCTGTTGTCATGTTACAATGCTTCCGCCTGTTGGTAGCCCGATGAGGCAGATAGAAAACTCCGTATTGAAAAATTCCTCAAGGACCCAAAATATGGAACCAATAGAGGAGACAAGTGAGGTGTCTCCCTCCTATTGGATAATGAGTTGGCCATCATTAATGATGGCCAACTCATTATCCAATAGGAGGGAGACACCTCACTTGTCCCCTCTATTAGTCCCATATTTTGGGTCTCCGTAGTAAAACTCTAAAAGCAGTCTCTTAAACCATAAATTTATGGTTGCATTTTCTCAAAATAAAAATAAATAAATAAATAAATTTACGGTGCATTACAACCTTTCAAACTCTAGAAAGCATACAAACCAACAAGGTACACGAACAAAATATCTAGAAATTCTGACGCGCTGCATTAACTGTCCAACAAATGAATGTCAATCGTTAAAGTAATGTAGACTTGGAGATTTACACATTGATTCGAAGGTTCGCATCTTTTTAGTGCACAATTAGAGCAATGAACTCTGAATCCCTTCGACACTTTCCTTTGTCAATCTTTAACTCGAGACAAATATGATCACCCACAACTCTGGCTTAAAAAAAAAAAACTCTCTACCAGCTATCAGAATGAATATATTTTAAATACAGTCAAAATTCAACATGGAAGAAAATTGAAATTATAAATACATCATAAACATGACAAAATGAGAGCAGATCATTACATATAGCCTTATACTTTGATACTCAAGATCCAGAATTCAATAGACCTACCTAAAATAACACACATAACCATACATACAACCCACCAAGACAACAATACATATACCACATTATACGCGAACTTCAAACAACAATTCAACACACCCCACACTACACCACACATAACCCATCATTAAACCTACTCCCTCTTCCTCTACACTCCTCAAGACCGCAGCACAATAGAAACACATAACACTACAGAACACTACGCCACACCGAACCTTCAAAAAAAAAAAAACAACACATCACACAAAACAACAGGGACCAGAGGCAATATAAACACTCTAACACACAACCACACAAAACCTACCACCTCAAACCACACAAACCACACACACACTCCTCACTCCCCTCCATCCCCCAACAGGTATCAGAACCCCGGCCCATGGAGCACGGGCACTAAAGTGCACCAACTACACTGGACGGCGCCCAACAGCACGCGACACCACCTCCAACAAAGGCACAAATTCGCCGCACGCATGTCACTACCCACGGTCCCGCTCCCCACTCCGAGTAAGTAAAACTCACCGCGCGCGACCCGGCATGCAAATCTCGACAGCTGCCTTCACATTATCGCCCCCAAGCCCGTGCTATTTCACCTGTGTCGATGGGCGCCACGTGTCCGAGCCGAACACCAGCAGAAACGGGTCAGCAAAGACCCCAGCCTCGTAGATCCGCCGTTCGCCGCGCGCCAGCACTTCTGACCTCCATCCAACGCTCCGAGCGAGCGACTGTACCTAACCGCCTCCAGCGGTCGAGATCCATCACCATGACTCCCGTGTTGAAGTAGCAGGGTTTTCGTCCGCGTGACTACCGGCGAGCGCGGGTGAGTCGGACCAAACTTCTCGGTGAAGTACTTGCTGAAGTTGGCGTGGCAGTACTCCGGAGCACCGACGGTTCTCGAACCGAGAGAAGTTCGCCAGAGCTTGGAGACGTCGTCGACGACGACGAGATCGGAGTCGAGGTAGATCACTCGGCGAACGCAGGGCTCTAAAATGTCAGCGAGGTAGTTTCTCGCGTAGTTGAGAGGTTGCTCCAGTGCTTGACGAACTGATGAAGAGATTAGGCCTCGGACTCGGTCTGCATCGAAGAAATAGACCTTGAACCGGAGTTTGGGAAACGCGGCGCGGACTAGGGTTTCAAGATCGGTATCGGAAACGAGAAAATGGAAGAAGACGTTCTCGGGGCAGAGAGAATGCTGGAGGACGGAATGGCAGGCTATGCCTTTATGTTGATAGCTCGCCGCTAACTTCTGCTTTTGATTGTGCAGTACTTCTCCCAAATGTGCCACTTTCACAAGAGCATCATTTTGGGTACATCGGGGGACCCGACGCGAATGAAATATTCAGTCTTCAGAACCAAATTCCATTGTGTACTTTTCCTGATTCGGAAAGAGCGGGGCGATCGAGCCTCGGAGGTACTCGACGTCGAGAGTAATGGCGATGTGGACGAGCGACGGGTCGCAGGCGGTGGAGTTGGAGAATCCCTCGGAGATCTTGTCGCACGAGTCGGCATTGCGGAACATTGGAGCTTGAAGGAACGAGAACCGGCGATCGCCGCTGCCGGTCTCCGGTCTCAAATAGCTGTCGAAATGAGACGATCTGATGGCCTCCGCCGGCGGAAATGACTGAATAGAGGGAGAGAGGACGATCATCACCATTGCGGCGGAGAGGAAACCGGAGAGCTTCATGATCCACAGCATCTTCCTCCGGCGATCGCCGCCTCGTCGGCGGCGCTTACGAGTCTTGAAATCAAAGAGGTCGGCGAGGCGAGCAAAGGCGAAGAGCAAGAGAGAAGCTAGGGTTCCCTTAATCCCCGCCAGATTGAAGCAAGAAAAGGGGACCAGATCGAATCGAATTGACCTGCAACGGTTTTCAGCAAGAATCTGTTCTCGTATTTCTTAACCTCCAAGCGATCGCCTCTGAAGGAAGCGATGATGACGACGGCGAAGACAAGGATCTCAATTTCATTATACAAAGAGGAAGGAACTCTGAGAGAGAGAGAGAGAGAGAGAGAGAGAGAGAGATGGCGGTATGCTCACCTTCTCCGCGGTGTGGTCCTCCGCTTTCTTCTTTCTCTCTCTCTCGAAGGAAAAGGAAGCAGCAGCCGACTGCAATAACAGAAGCAAGGAAATAGTAACTATCTCCCCCTTTATCTTTCGCAATTTTGCTTTTTTTAACCATTTCAGGAATTTCTTTAATGATTAATTAATGATTTAATCAGAGGAGTTAAGATATAGTACCAACTTGCGGGGCATCCTAGTTGGAGTCTTATGCCAGCTGGATCACTTTTACGGTTATACCCCCATTTCTGTGCTGGATCAGTTTCTGTCTCCAGGGGCACTTGCGGAAATAAGCGAGAATCTTTCAATTTTCAGGGGTATGGACGTCATTTCTAATTTTCTGTTGTAATTATATAAAACAAGAGTTTGACCGGATTAACTGATTTTTGAATTTGAATTTTGATTTAATCCTTCATCGAGATCCTCTGTTATGTGTGGTTTTTAGGGGGGAAATTATTTTTTGGCACTAGGAATTTACGTTAATACCCCTAATTGGAATAAGGAGAGCCTTCTTGTCGCTGACATACGGGCAGTCGCGTTCTTCTATTTGGCTGGCACGTGTAGGGCCCCAAGACACGAGCCACGGGGCTTTGATTATTCGTGTTGACGATCGGAGGGACGTCATTGATCCACATAGCCAACGGACAGCTACGAGTACGACCACCGCTTCGCCGACAGTGGAGTGATGGCAGGGTCGCTGAGATTAATGCTTTGAGATTCGTGCAGTCGTATCCAAGGCTGGCATCCACCTCGGTCGACTTGGCGGAAAATCAACGCAGATCCGCTGCGATCCACTTGCAGCAGATCCCCTCTATTTGCGTACGTGGCATTTTCTGGGCGGGTTTAAATTGGTTTTGTATGAATGGAGTTTGTACTGGATTTCTGGGCCACGTGGGCTCGCTGTCACGGGTAGCAGAGGATTAAAGCGGGCGGGAGGTTGGGAGTCATGTGACCTTCCGGGACGGCACCAACGGCGTTTGCCAACAGCAGATAGAAGAATATGGCTTCGGAGGTGTCAAACGGATTCAACGGCCATAAGTACGCCGTTAGGGGTTGGTTGGCCGTTTTAATTGGTCAACGGTTTTAATTTACCAGAGTGGTCCGAGGATGGGAGCAGACTGAACGAGCCGATTGACTTCAATTTTGGAGGGTGGTTCAGATTAATAAATTGTATTTATTTTATTTATTTTTTAATGAAATTGGGATTTTAAGAAAAGAAAAATGTAGTGACATCCATAATTAACCACACCATCTCTCTATTGTGTATAGGTTTATGTTAGCTTTCGGGGCGTTTTGGGAGTGTTTATGTAGCTTTCGGAGGCTTTTATGGAAAGTAGTAAAAAGAAAAAATGTAGTTATATACAAACTGTGCTATTAAGTAATTATGTATTATAAGCTTATTTTTTTTTTTTTTTTTTTCTTTTTCTTTTAATAAAATAATAATAATTTTAATTGAAAGGAGCTTATGAAAACGGCAGAAAACAGGTTTTGACTTCAAGCGGTCGAGACAGCGAGGTGACGCGGCGGTCAACGCAAACGTGCAACGCAAGCTTGAAAAGTTATGGCTTTTCGCGGTCGACGACGGGTATAGCGGGCGGTGATCCGGCAAACATGTAATGTTTTTTTAGTTCTGTCGTTCTGTTCGGTACTGACACATGGGTCTCTGCGGTCGACGCGAGTCGGGCTTAAGGCCTGAATGTTAGTTTCTGATCGAATTCGGGTTTGTATTTTGATAATAAATAAACACGATTTTCTAGGGTTTCGTATAGAGATTTATAGGTTTTGTTTACTTGGATTATAGGAGAGGAGAACTTGTGATGCGAGTTGAGGAGATTTGTTTTAGGGTTTTGTGTGAAGTGATTTTGGTGAGTTGTAACTTTGATATTCTGCCTTGATTTCAGTGGGATCTATTTATCTCTTCCGGTGGACGTGGCAAATTACGAACTCTATTTATTGTTTAATTGGTTTGTATCTTCATACTCATATTGTTTAGAGAAAATCCATTAATGGATATGGATCTGAGTATCTACAAAAATACAAGTGATATCATGCTAGACTTCAGTTAGAAAGATTAACATAAACCACACACAACAACTTGTATCAGAGCAAAATAATATATAGAGGTTAGATCTTTACGACTTCGCGGTTTAGCATTAGGTGGAAGAATTCGTATACTGTATTTCTATGGAAAAGATATTTAAGGTTAACTCCGTGAAAGATGATAGCATGTTTGTGGTCGTAGATCGAAGAATTTCGCATTGATGCGTGTGGTTAGAAGATTATTTGGAATCGATTTTAGGGTTCAGTTAGGATAATATAAATTCTATCAGTTGAGAACCACAAATCTGACCAATATCTCAAATTACAGAAGTTAGTGGATTATGAGTGAAAGTATCAGATAAAATAGCAGGCAAAAGATGATATGTACAAGTTACAATGAACTGATCCAAGAACCAGAAACAATACATATTAGTCCATGATGAGTAGACAAGATATAACGGCACTTCTGATCCAATATGGTTTGTGGACAAAAGGAGGAACCATAATGTCTCAGGATTGCTATACTAATGCATCAAGTTAAAATTTGTTAGGAGCGATGACTTTATAAATCACATGGTCCATGGAGGGCCATTCCAATGATAATTATGAAGAACTATTAAACCCTTACCCAATATTTAATTCTGATTCATTATCTAACCTAAAATACCAAATAATAATATGGATCAATATGATAGAAAAGAATATATACTAACGAAATTTCTTATATCAACATGGTAGTAATACAGATCTATACTCTCTCGCCGCACTCAGGATGTTCACCAACAAAACAATATGATAAGTGAATTAGGGGAGTCTGACAATTAATTAGAAAGATGTGTAAAATATCTCAAAACAAGATATTATAAAAGATGTTGACGAAACGAACCCTCTCCTCTCGCCTGACGACAGGCTCCTTAATATGCAGATTAATATAGATGGTCAGTGACACAACCAAAATACTATCATAGCAGTTCATCGTGAACAATGACAATAAGTTACTTAGTGGACATTCGGGCGCCAATGTTGCCATGGAAGATCAATCAGATAAACTGTATGATATCGCAAAGGACAATATTCATAAACAATCATGCTGTGGGTCTCTAAACTGGATGAAGAGTAATAATACCATTAGTAATTATCTTTAGTTGGAAAAAAGTGACGAAAAAACAAAATCATTCATATCCAAACACCACACTTAAATAACAGTAAAAAACCAGACACCTAATCATAAAAACGCTATTGAACGACGTAACAATAAGTGATTTGAGGAGGGACAGAGAAAACATGAGAACTCAGCCGATAATCAAGTAATTTCAAGAAGACGCGATTACGAACGGAGAACAGGTAGACGCAGCCATATCTAAGAGGTATCAATAAAACACAAATGATACCAAGATCCAGAGGCCCACAAAAAGGACAAGGAACAACAAAAATACGCTCGCTTCTGCCAAAGAGAAGTTAATATAAAAGAAAGAGACTGTTCTAAAAATCAAGACAGGGTAGCAAATAAGCAAGAAGAAAGAACGACCCGGACAGCAATAGAGGTGACATACTGTTGTAGACAAAGACGATGATTCTGAGATTCGAGTTTTCTCTATTGATTATCGGAGATGACACAATTTAGGCCTAACAACATACCGACTTAGCCATGCTGATCATCTGCAGAACGATACTGCATATCATAACTGTTGAAACTACTGAGACGAGATTGATTTTAATCATTTGGAGCCCACGATCGATGAGGATTGATAGAAATGAGCTGATGAAACAATCAATCCAACAATCCGTAGACAAATTTTGTGGGATAAAGTCTCGTGAAGGATAGAGAACCAATCGCAACAAGAAATGAAAATAGTCGCGTGATAACCTTGAAAAGAGACGTGAAAGAATTTTCCTACACAGATGCAAAAAGACAAGTATTTTCAGTTGGAGACGTTAATCGCGAGGGATCAAAAAATCCAACTATTGACTTTGGAGGATGCTGTAGTAAAGTACTTAAGGCAATTTTCAATCGTGAATGAAAGTGGGGTAGTCAAGTATAGACTCAAATCTATAAATTCCAATTAATCTAATCAGTGCGGCAAGAACGAACAACTAAAACCCAAACAACACACAAAACAAACTACCAAACAAACTGGTCAGGTATGCTTCAACCTATATTCAAGAACCCACGGCCAATGTAAACGACGAACTGTCACTCGGCACCTAGGCTTAGTCGCCAAAACCCCACCTAATCTCAGCAGTGAGAATTTTACAGAACTGTCTGCACAAAGCATGCAGCAGGCTATATTGAAGCGATGCAGAATTACAGTATAGTCTGAGAGATCATCGTAAAAGTGTTGAATCAGTGGATTTGATAGAATTATTGTATGGAGGAGAACTGGATCTAGTCTTCTTAACTCATTAAACTAAACTATCTTTCAATTCTCAGAAACGGCACTACCCAATACTAGAGCATATGGGTTGATGACCAAGGGACAGAAGAAACTCAATTGGTTGTGTAATGATGCCAGGCAAACTCATATTCGGAATTAAATGGAGCGAGCACTTGATAGGTCAAAAGTGAACCGGTTCAAATGACTCTAGGAGGTTGAGAAAGGCTAATGACAGGAGGAAAAGCATATTGATAACTCTTGATGGAGCTCTCTGCTTTGACTGGTAAACACANGTTGGCCGTTTTAAGGCGTAACGGCTTTTATTACCAGAGGTCGAGATGGGAGCAGGACTGACCGAGTCCGATTGACTTCAAATTTATGGAGGGTGTTCAGATTAATAATGCTATTATTTTATTTATTTTTTTAATGAAATTGGGATTTTAGAAAAGAAAATGATAGTGCACATCCATAATCTCAACCACACCCTCTCTCTCATTTGCTATAGTGTTTATGCTAGCTTTCGGAGGGCGTTTTGAGTGTTTATGCTAGCTTTCGGAGGCCTTTTATGGAAGTAGTTTATACAAACTGCTGCTATTAGTAATTATGTATTATAAGCTACTTTTAATAAATAATTAATAATTTTAATTGAAGAGCTTAAAGAAAAACGG